TATCACTGAAATTGAGCACTTTCCACTAAGTACTGCACATACAAAATAATATATATATATGTGGGTATTTGAAATTTTTTATTCTTATAAATTTATTCTTATTTTTATTCTCATGTGTGTACATGTGGAGGTTCTGAAAGGTTCTTGTGCTGATTCAGTTCTCAAAATTTGATTAAATGTTTAAACATGAGAATTCTTAGCATAATACCTTACTCTCTTGGTTATGCTAAGGTTTTTCAGCACCCTCTTGTATATATGAGAAACATATACAAGCACAATAAGTGTTTTTTGAGTCTGCTTTAATAAACTGAGATAACATTATTTTTATTCAAGCATCCATACTAATGAGTGTTTAGTGTATATATATATATATATATATATATATATATATATACCTTACAAAAACCTAATACTAATCCAACAGGTCAAATCATCCTACCTCTATAATTAAGCACATACCTTCATAAATTAAGAAAAGAATTAGTATGAATTCCACTAATGAAGAAATATTCTATAAACATAGTAATTTTTACAACCAAGCTCTAAAAAATAGTGGCTACAAACACTCTAATATCAATTACATAAAAAAATAATAGTACAAACCAGAAGAAAAACAGAAAAAGAAAAATCATTTGCTACACCTCCACCCCCATTCAACAAAATGGTTAGTAATAAGCTAGGACAAAAATTCCTAGTGTTAATTGAAAAACATTTTTCTAATAACAGTAAACTTAGCAAGATTTTTAATAAAAACACCCTAAAACTAAGTTACAGCTGTACTGAAAATTTAGAAAGGATTATAAAATAATATAATAAAATCTTGAAAAAATATGCATGCTAAAATCAAATAAAGATCCTAAAATGAAATTAAACAATAATAATGAAAAATTATGTAATTGTAGAAACCCTGAAAATTGCCCTTTGAATAAAAAATGCCGCATAGAATCCATACTATACCAATGCACAATCTCATCCATTGAGAATCCAAATATTGTAAAGATATATATAGGATCCACAAAAAATGAATTTAAAATGAGGTGGAGACAACACCAAAGTTCCTTTAATAATATTAGAAACCAAAACCAAACATCCCTATCTAAATATTTTTGGCATTTAAAAGAAACAAATAAAACACCAACAGTAAAATGGAAAAATAATAAATAGAACAAGAACTTGTAGGATCTGGGATGACCCATGACCTTTATGCCTACATGAAAAACTACACATTATCAAGTTTATAAAAAACAAAAATTGATTAGATCAAAGAAATGAAATAACAGTATTTTGCAGACACCACCAAATATTCACCTTAAAAAATTAGTAATTTATAAATAGAAAAAAAAAAATTATAATAGAAATAAAATCCTAAAATATATATATATAATAAAAAAAATCCACAATATCATATATAAATAACTACACAAGACCATATAAAATCTATTAGCAAATTAAATTAATTTCATACACTTATAAAACTATAGGATAAAAATACAACCCAATCATATCTAAGCACTCCTTTAAGAAACTATCAATGAAAAAAAAAACAAATAAACACCAAATAAAGTCTCTAACTAGAACATCAATGAGTAAGTTTTAACAAATAGTAATAAAAACAACAGAACTTGTGGAAAAAAGGCCATTGTAGCCAGACAAAAATCCCCCAACCTAACCTTACATGACTCCAAAAGTTTGACATGTAATAAACATTCATACTTTCATCAGACTAGAGACCTCTTGATAATGAAAGAAAAAAAAACAAATTACACCTCCACTTCCAACCTATAAATGAGTAAAACATTTCTTCAGTTAGTTTTTCGAAACATCGCTTGAGAATGAAACTGTGCTCCAAATTTTAAGTTTAATATTGAAATTAAGCTTTATAACTTGAGCCAGTTTCAAAACATAGTAATTTCTGTGTTGCAATAGAATCATATTTTTTTTTTAAATAATTATAATTTAAGCTCTACTTCTGTATTGAGCACTATTTTTTAAAAATAAAAACAAATACCAAAGAGCTTTGGATCATTAATCTAACAGTTCTTTCCTATTACATCAATACACACACACACACACATACATATATATATATATATATATATATATATATATATATATATATATGTATATTTGTTTTTGTTTAAATGGAGAAAGAAGGTAAGTATAAAAGTCTCTTATTGAGGAGATACTCATCATAAATGTTTTTCTGCTTCTTTGTCATATACACACATAATCCAGAAATCAATCTCTTATGGTATGTTTTACAATTCACTTAGAAATATCCCAGTAATGTAACAGAAATAAGTTACTCACAAATGAACAACAATATGTAGAGTTAAAAAAAGACAAATATGTGTTTTATAAGAGCACTGATCTCTGTTAAATAATGGAAATAAGCAAATATTTTTTCTTTTTCTGCAAGTGATAATGTCCCCATTGATTATCATATAAGTGACAGATCACATGATTTCATCTCTATAGATCTTTATATTTACCTGCCCAGAAATATTCAGCTAAAAGACATGTTAGAATAATAGAGGAAATAAAAAGGAGATGACTTAAGAGTAAAATCAGGTGCACAGCCAAGAAATGATTAATCTTTGTATCTGATGTCATTGTCTTGCTTTTTTTCTTCATACTTTTCTTTGACATCAAGAAATCAACACCTCCAAATTTCTAACATCCTCATCTTCCCTTTTCAATGACTCTATTAATGTTTTTTAACTCTTTTTGAAAGGTATGGCTTATTTTGAAAATTTTTCAAAACTTTTTCCAAAATTTATTTTATTTTTTTGAAATGATAAAAAATTTATCTTCAGGCTTTTATGATAAATGAATTAATAAATTAGTTAATTAAGCAATTTAATAATAAAAATAAAGATACTAGTTGATGTATAACAAACATCAACTAGTGTCTTTTGTCTTCCTTTTGGAGACCAAGTATAATTAATATTTCAGAAGGTCTATCTGGTAAGTATCCAGCCATTTAATAGTAAGGATAAAAACAGTTTACTTAATTGAAATGGTGCTTTAGTTTCCCTTGGAGTACACCCTTTTTTACTTCCCACACTTATTTCACTGTCCATTCCACTTTACAAAACACTTCACAAGATCCGCTTTTAGGATTGTGATCAACTGCTAAACCACATTTTCCTTAATCTTCCATGGAGTTTCAACAGTAACTTTACTTTAAGCAAAATCAGAAGTCCTATAGGAGCCAAATCTATACTATTAGGCATTTAACAAGCCTGGGTGATGCAACATTTTCCAAAAAAACACCTGTAAAAGACATGAAAAATCTATTTACTTCTATGTAGTTATTGGGAATGTGACGGTCACATTATACACATGCTTACTCAAATGTATCTTATTGTAAATTGATTAACTCTATGGGAAAGTATCAGTTCTTGCATGCACAATAGGGTCCTCTTTAATTGTTTACCAAGTTATATCAAAGCTGCATGAACAGTTCTTCAAATATTCAAAATGATAAAATATTTTCTAGACAGACTGTATAGATTGATTCTTTCAAATCAGTTTCCTCAAATTTATTACCTGTCTCATAAAATTCTGTTGGTCATATTTGATAACATTCTAGGAATGTCAAATGTAATCCTTTATTTGGTCCAAAACAAAGATAAACTGGTTCAAAAGATTCAATGTGTAATAGTTTCAACTAGAGTTTTATTTTTAATGTGGTATACAAAAATGTATGCAAATAACATTGTGACATTCTTTCTTCTGAACATTTTGTGCACTTAAATGAAATTTAAATTTGTTAGGGGCCCCAGCAAATGGCAAATAGTGAACTCCCAAATAAAAAAAGAAATACTATGAAAGTATAAAAATACATTTTTATAGTAAAATGACCAACAATACATTTTATCCATAGTAGAAGGCATTCAATTACATTCATTGATTTGAAGCTATAAAATTATGTTTAAAATATTTACATTTTGGCATTAAATAACCCATGAAAGAATTCTTTCATGACATTAATCCATATAATATCCTACAATTTCTTAAAGAAATGAAACTGTATACCAAAACAAAACTACAACATAAAGCACACACTGCTACTATTAATTATGTCCACAAAAACATGTATAAGCATAAAAGCTGAGTATCATCTACCAGGTATTCAATTGTGAAAGCAGAATCTCTATCTATAAAAGGCAGGATGTGTGTGTGTGTGTAATGAATGCACGGCCGCAATTTTCGACGGATTTGCACCAAAATTTACATGCACATGCTCCAAGTTAGTGGGAAGGCCAAGACTGACTTTGCATTTCCCAACTCCCATCAATAGTGGAAATAATCGATTTTTTCATGCTTCTACAGCAGTTTTCATGTAGTTTGTGGCCATTTCCACGAATAGGCAGGAAGATTCTATTGGCCAGTGTGAGAGCCAACAGCTGACTGACATGAATGTTAACTAGCATGCAAAAAAATTGATAGATGCATTCGTCACAAGTGGGAAAAATTTAAATCTGCATGGCACTTTACTCCAATTGGCTCATTCACTTTCTTAATCTCAACGTTGATTCTGATTCCGCAGAACTGGGTTGCGTGTGAAAAAGTATTTGTTGTTAACATTCTTTTTTCATTTGGTTTTTCCAATTATGAGTCCTTTTTTAAAGCTGATCGTTTTATGTTCATTTTGTTTAGTTCTTTTTTCATAACAGATTTAATGTTTAGTATAGAGCTTAGAAAAAATTTGCAGTGTGATATAGGCAAGAAGTAAGACATGTAGCAACATCAGCATGGCAAAGGGCACTCCTTTAAAGGCAAGGAAGGGCAAAAATATTTTAAGTCATGTGATAGCGATTGCTGTATGAGTTGTACGATTTTTGAATCAAGCACGGGCAATGCCGGGCCATGCTGCTAGTATCATATATATTTTTATTACTTCAAAGTTCGTAAGAAAATTAAATTTTGGCATTAAATGACCCATAAGGAGATGACATGCTGTTAAACAAACAAAAAATAACTTATCTTGGGCTTATGGCCATATCACATTGAAACACCAGTTCTTGCAAGATCACTGAAGTTAAGCAATGTTGAGTCTGGTTAGTAACTATTTGGGTGATCACTTGAGAATGCCAGGTGCTGTAAGCTGGGATGTGTGTGGGGAGTAATGGATAATAGCTCAGAATTGGAAATCAGAGAGAGCCAAGTTTCAATTCCAGTCAGTTTTTTTTATATTCACTTAACACAAATATCCTTGGAAAAAGTATGAATCCACCTCCTCTTCTTAACTATAGGTTATTTTTTAACTATTAGTAGGACTTCTATCAGGAACTGTTAATTAGTAGGACTTGTATCAGGAACTGTTAATTAGTAGGACTTGTATCAGGAACTCATTATTATCTTGAAAAATTTATTACAATCTAAAAAAAATATTTCTGGTTTTAAATAACCTGCAAAATATTGACAATCTGTAAAACAAAAATCAATCAAATAAAATTATATCTTATCTTGACACCAACCATTAGTAGAACCACCATTCTCTTTATTTTAATGATATTCTTAATTCTTTAATAAAAAAGCTAAACATTTTTCCCTTACAGACTTTTCAAATATTCTGTTTTCTTCAGATATGTGACTTTTTTGTTTTTGTTTTATAAATTTTCTTATTTGAAGAATAAATTATGGCATTCATCATTTGAACGTTATATTCTCATTATTTTTCTGATTTTCACATTTCGACCAACTTACATTTTTCATAATTACAATGTAATTAAACTATATTACATGTTGTCTCTGAACTCAGTGTACTTAAAAAACATTTTAAATTACAAATTAAGGAGAAATACTAAATCATACTAAACACCAAATGTAACAGTTCAGTAGCCTAATTTACATGTGCTTTATTCAATTGGCTTTTCTGTTGCTCCTAATTTTTCTTTAGCAATAAATAACTTAAACTTTTGAATTTGTGCCAGTTGTTATATTTTTCATTTATATATATATATGAGCTGGTGATGAAATGTTCTCAGTCCAACCAAGAAGAGTTTAAAAAAAATATTATGATATTTGGTCAGATGTTAGGAAATGTGTTAGCTTGAGAACTTTTAGCACCCTTTATATAAAATATTTTTGTTTGTTTTCGGGGTTCATTTCCTCCCCCTCATTTCATGTTACATGAAATTTTTATATATTGGGGTGTTTTTGTAGATTCCTGCTCTGAATATGTGGTATTGTGGTATATATAGGATTGAATGGTGATGAATGAGTTCTTTTGGTCAATGGGTAAATTGTATTGGATGAATGGGTCGTGAATGTGATTAACTAAGACTAGAATAGTTAGTGAAGGCCAGCCTTACCCCACTTCCCCTTTGGCCATGTGCCAAAATTATTGTATTTTGTACAGTAATAAATAATTTGTATAAAATATGACATGCATTCATATCTATATTTTTTGTGTATTACATTGTTTTTAGCTTTTTACATTATAGAAGAGACCCTCAACTGTAGTGGACTCTTCTGGTGATGAAGTAAAAACAGAATTTTGTTAGGTTAAACTCAATAAATATAACTATAATTATTCAATGGGAAATATTAAATTATTTGTTCACTTTAATATTCCAGAATTATTGTGAATCCAGAGCAAAATAATGTCTTTTGATATTTTATGAATTCTATGCAATTGAAAAATTACCAAGATAGTTTTCACTTTTTTTTTTTTTTAGAGTACAGGTAAATTAATAATAAATTAAAAAAAATGAATAAATTAGAAAAAGTAAAAAGCAAACAAAGGTGAGACTGATTAGAGGAAATATTATTTTCCTTACTAACTGGTGAAATTGAAAAACTAAGAACATAAAATTCTAAAAACAAAAACAGTGATACTTAAAAAAAGTTTTCAGACACAAAATGAGACAAGGATGCCAGCCATAGAGCAATGGTTAGTACACAAATCTCACAGACTATCTGTTTGTGTAGTGAGTTTGATCCTCATAAAGGGGCTCACTACTTAGCCATGCATCTGACACTGTTATGATTCATTCCTATCTAAGGGACACTTGCCATAGAGCAGTGGTTAGCTTGTTTTACAGACTATCTGCTAAAGTAATAAATTGAGTGAGTACCTTGTTATTTTGGTCCTGTGCCTGACACTGATAAATTTCATTCATATCTAATGAACATTTGCCATAGATTAGTGGTTAACATGCAAATTATCTGCTAAAGTAATGAATTCAGTTCTTTCTGAGTGTATCATTATTTTGGCACTATGCCTAAATAAACTATGTTTATTTTTTTTATATTTATACCAAATAGATAATGAAAAGTCAGGGAAACATAATTATGAACATTTTTATGACTTAATAATATATCATCTGGTTTTTATACAAGTTTATGAGGTGAATACTAAGTTTATTTGTTCTCCCTATAATCTCAAGAATATTTGAGGAAGCAGATGAATGGAAGATCAGAATTCAAAAAGTGAAGCTGTTTCTTTTTTCCAGAAATTAACACTGATTTAACCATTAAAATTTTATTCATAAAGAAGTCAAACAGCAAAAATTCAACCCACCTTGAAGTAATTTTTATGCATAAATATAAGGTTAATAATAAAGCAAAAATATAATGTTTTCTTGTTTAAGACCTGGACTGTATGGTGGCTGAGGTAGTTGTGAATTTCCCACTAGAACCAGGAATTGGTATTCAATCTTAGGTATAGAGCCAGCATTTCAAATGCTGATTTTCAAAATAGGTATGTCCTCGCATACAAAGTGACACAATACAATCTTCTTACCAGTCTTCTATTTGGCCCAGTGTTAGATGAAGCAAAGTAATGTCTGCTCCATAAAAGCTGTTATATAAATTGAGGTGGCCTAATGGATGAAATACTTTGACATTATCAACTATTTTCTTTTACTAGTGAGCTATGAAAAAAAACTTGAGCTCTAAATATCCCTCTGAATAATTCTAACATTCCCATGAAGTGAACATTTACCTCCAGAAAAAAAATGAGGAATTTACTGAAATATAGATATGTAGATATAGATTACTCAATGACTGGTGCTAAAATCATTAAGGAAAATTTAAAACCTGAGTTTTCTTTAAAGAAATTTTTATCACTTTTGAATTATGAATACTTAATCTTTGGTGATGTCAGGTGAAATATGAAGTTTTTATTTGATCAGATTTGGGCATTTTAGCTTCTTTTGCACTTTTAGTATTAGGAAGATTTTTCAAGAGAGGTTAGTGTAATGATGCACACTGAATAATTCAGATTATATTTACTTCATAAGATTTCATCTTACAAACCAAGAATCAAGATTATCAATTTTAAAATATTAAAAATTAAAGTAATTAAAATAAATATTTAGGCTGACATATGAGTTGCATTTGATTTTGTTAATATTTCAATGCTAATACACATCATCATCAAAATATTACAAATGAAAGTAACCTTCTTTTTCCATTTAAAAGAGTACATGATTGGAGTTTATAATATTGATTCTTTTCCTGTCTAAATACATTTTCTTTTGATCTTACAATATCTATTCAAAACAAGATACAGTATTTAGAAGATTATTTTAAATTTTGATGGTGATAATCTTTTAAGTATTAAAGAAAGTATCCTCACTTGTTATGATAACTTTTAAAATTGTTGTTTGATTATACAAGGAAGAATTATGACTATAATTTACGGTCTGATCTATTCTTTTTTTTTCAGAAACATTTCATGTCAAATTCAATAATCTTTGAGTTGACTGATAGAAATAATGGTAAATGAGATCAGTTTGGGATGCTGCATGATTTGATTGATAAGTTCAAAAAGGGTTCATCAGCTTCAAAACTGATGAGATATATTTGCATTGTTGATGGATATAAAATCAAGAAATGCTAATGATTTTTGACTCAGTTTCAACTGGAAAATCTTATCCATGAAAATTTAACTCATTTTGAAAGACTAATTTCAAATAAGCTTTCCTAACCATAACTGAAGTAAATTCTAAGATAACATCATGAGAAATTTCAAAACTGTTGAAATCAAACAAACCCTCCATGATCTACCTCCATCAATTTGGTAAAGTGTTAAAAATTGGCCAATGAATTTTTCTCTTGATGTGATCAATTCTCAATTTAATCAATATCTGATTACCATTGAGAACAAGACACACTACTAAACAATTTCTAGAAAGGATCATTACCTGTGATGAAAAGTAGATCCTTTATAATCATTTTCAATCAAATAGACAAGGGTTACAAGTGAAGTGAGTTATCTATTATGAGGTGTTGAATTCTAATGAAGTAGTCAATTCTAAGATATATTGTTGTCAACTGAAAGTATAACACCAATCTTTGTTGAAAAATTGAGTTTCACTGATCTATAAGAAATGTGTTGCTCTTGTAAGATAATGTAAAACCACACATTGCAAAATTCATACAGAAAATGGTGTTGGCTTTGAGTAGTGAAGTTTTCATTCATACACCTTATTCCTTTGTCCAAGTTTTTTGAATTGTCACTTTTTCAGAATTTTAAAGTATTTCTTGAACTGGTACATCAATTATAGGTGATTAAAAAAAGATACAGAGACAAGTTTTTGCTTAAAAAAATACAACCATTTCAGAGTGTTTGGGTATCAATCTGAGGACTTGCTGTGTGTCTCCCAAAATGTACCAAGAGTGAATTGAGGAGGTCATGTTGCCCTAGGTAAAGAGAGTAGCTGTGGGAAGACCATATGTCTGGCAACAGGATTCTGCACTCTGCCACACAAGCAGGAGAACCCAGTATGTATGTATGTATATATATATATATATATATATATATATATATATATATATATATATATATATATATAGGTGCGATGGATAAATTGTCGTCGAAATGATAAATGATGTGAAATGAGGCAAATATGAAAATAACACTGACATCTCATTTTAACAGATATATTTATAAAAATTACCCAAAAATAAAGAGTAAATTTATTCAATAAAATTGCTATTGGCTTCAACCACAGCCTCCAGATGACTTCTTCTGAAACTCTTCTAGACAGTCTCTTTGTTTAAGTTGGTGAATACTGCCATAATCCTTGCCTTCACTTCATCTTTGTTGTTACAAGGAGTTTTGTCGGTTTCTCACTCAACTGTGGCCCACACATA